GAAGGGCTCTGGGGGTCTGGGTTTGAATGTGTGTGCTGGAGGAAAAGGGCCAGGGGTCCCAAAGCAGCTGGAGGGGTGGCCAGACCAGCCAGACTTCCGATGAATTTCTCTTTGAATTAATTTTTCAAATAAGAGGAAAATGTGAATGACAGCGTTTGAAACACCTCCCTGGAAATGGATGGTGTGCTTGTGGTATTACTTTGCAGTGGCACCATCATACACCCAGAAATGCCAGGTTTGCCTGCAGAAGGTCCGTGCCTCTTCCCCAATAGCTCCTACGGTGTTTTTCTTCCTGAGGTTACCCCAGGAAAGGGGAAAAGCATTTTTTTTTTTTTTTGTGCGACTCAAGTGCATCTCTACCAGCTTGCCCTAGGCCTGGGGGAAAACTGGCCAACTCAAAGCTGCTGTGAAGGGCTATTCAGTCATTACTTCACAGGGTGTCACAAGCCATGGGATTTCAGTGTGTTACCCGCAGGGGAGCCCAGTTACTAAAGCAAATCTTCCTGAAAGACACCCTGCTTTGATTTATTCAAACACATCTAGTAGCACGAGCAAAATCCACAGGTACAATGAGGGCTTCCTGCCATGGATATGCAAATATTGAGCTCAGTGCAAATGAGCAAACCACACATCTCCTAACACAAAGCAAACTGACTGCTGTTTACCTCTGGTTGCAGGGCACCCATGGCTCCAAACCAAGGCTCCCCTCTTTGATGGCTTGTGTCAAGTCGGCACAGAGCTGCTCTCGAAAGCTTCTGCTGAGAAATAATTTCTGCACCTTGTTCTAGTGGTTGCCCCTTTCAGGCAGTCCCCCCAGGAGTCCGTGCTGCCGTGCCTAGAGCTAGCTTTAGGTTTGCTCAGCTCCTGTAACCCTGCACCAGACTGTCCAAAAAGCAAGTCTCGGTCCTTCAGCAGCTCATTACTCTTTTCCCCTGCCAGAATCTCATTCTTGTTCTGGCAATAAACAATTCCTGGGGCTGCTTGTTCAAAACACACATTTTGCAGCCTTATTACCATAACGATTCTTCCCAGAGATTATCTCCCTGTATGTGATTTGTTCCCTGCTGTGAGCAGCTCTGAGACCCCATGAATGTTTCTCAGCTCCTTCTCCCAGAGAGGCAGCAGGGGAGGGTAGTCCCAGCTCCCCCCGTGATGCTGGAAGCGAGGTCGGAGCCGATGGGTGGAAGAGATGTATAAACATGGAAGCAGCGTGCCTAATTAATGACCTGAAACCAGCCGTAAAGGTCAGCTTGTTTGCAAGGGATGCGCTTGAGGTACACGTGCTGAACGTGAACTTCGCTGCCGTGCCTCGGAAAGGGCATCGCCGCCCGCCCGGGACGGCGGCTGGCGGAGGGGGAGCTGTCAGAGGAGGATCGATAGCCTTCAGCCTCACTTGTTAGTGCGTACCCTGGCTGTCCCCCCCCCATCGCCCAGCGAGCTCGGCTCCTCGCAGGGCTCTGCTGAGATGAGAAAGCAGGCTGCTTTCCGGGGAAAGGGCAGGCTCCTGCAGCTCTTTGGCGTGCGATGCTGCCGTAGATCAGGCTGTGTTTTGGGCTGTCTCGTTGGGCACTTGACTGCGTTTGAACTGCAGAGTCTTTATAGCTCCTATCGATGCCGTCAGCAGCACGCATTCAAAAATTGAGCATCTGGATGCAAATGCCAGGGGATTGATATAAAAATTTTATTTACTAGCTGTTTTTTCTCCCCCTGAAGCTCTCCTCCTTGGTCTTCCAAGGGCTACAAACTCAAGTTTCTTGCCTAATCCCAGGACTCTGGGGGCTGAGGCTTTATGAATATAGATTTGTAAAGAGGTCAGGGTGTGCTGCGGGTTGTTGTGTGAGACCTTCAGGGTCCTTTGCCACCCCAGCAGTTTCTGACCACCTTTCACCTCAAGAATTGGGCAGAGCCATGGGACAACCTGCAGAGAAAATAAAGGGGAGACCTGGTATTACCGAGTCACTTTGCAGACAATGCTGAGCATTGCTGGTGCCAATAAAATCACAGAGATGTCACATGCACAATGGCAGTGGTGCTGCAAGGAAAGTGCCTTTGATGAGACAGGTTTTCTGCCTCTCTGAGATGAATACAGTGCCACCCCAGCTGTCCCCCCCTTGCAGAGTTCTCTTTCCAGTGGTGTTTCTGGGACAAACACTTTTCTTCAGGCTTTTGGCCTCGTGTGTCCCTCTCATACTCTTTGTCCCAACAAAGAGCCCTGATCAAAGCTCTGCTTTTGCGACGTGATGGCTCAGGAGCGATGTTGGCTTGGTTTAGCTTCAGGCAGACAGAGGGTGTCTGGCCACAAAAGGAGACAGAAAAATCAAGGCAGCTGGTCATGTTTTCTTATTTAAATCTGCTCTCTGCCTGTGCCGGGGAAGACAGCTCAGCTTTGCAGAGAACATGGGGGTATGTAGGGTGTTTCTAGAAAGGCACCAGCTCAGGTCTGCAGCAAAGCCTCTCAGACAGTCCATGGTGGCCTTAGTGCAGGTGTGCTGCTACAACTGAGGTCAAACTGGCCAGAAAAGGGGTTATCCTTTTCTGGCAGGGCATGGCCTGCACCCTCCCTCTCTCTGGGACCTTCCTTCCAAGCAGTGACCAAGGAGGCCTCTGCCAGGGGTGATCTCAAGCCCCTGCAGATCCCACATCTGAAGGTGAGGAAGATGCACTGCAGGGCAGAGCTGTGGGTCCCTTGCAACGAGCAGAAGGCAGGAGATGCTCACTAAGTCCAGCATCTCCTTTACCTCCCATCCGGCCTTCCCACAGACTTTGGTGAGTCCCTTTGCCCTTTGAGTCTCAGCTTGTCCCTTGCAGTGAAGTCTGTGGTTATATACTGCATTTACTGTCAGATGGAGATCGTTTCCACATGTATGTCAGTCATCTTGGGTTCAATTTACAGGTTTTAAGTCACTCCCTGCAGATTGCCTTTTTCTCAGGCAAACTGGCGCAGAAGGTCCTGCACTTCCTTGCTCAGACAGTGGGATTCCCCGTTTTCCCTCGCTCGGCCCCGTGCCAGCCCCAGAGGCTTTGCTCTCCAGCTCCCAGACCTTGTCTCTCCCACTCCTGATGCTTCTCTCCAGGCGTCATCTCTCCAGGGTCTGGCTTATAACACGGTGTGTGGCACAGGGACAAAGATGACAGGGCTTCCTCCATCTCACAGATGAAATACGTTTTTTGGCCCAAGTGTTCAGCATGGTGATTAATTGAGAGCTGCCTGCATCTGAAGCACCGAGTGATCATCATTAGAACCATCTGAAAATGAGGGAGAAGAGACTGAGCAAGAGGAGCAGGGCTGGAGTCTGTGCGCGGTACCGGTGAGTACTCTGTGTATGCTGAGAACTGACAGCTTTGGGTGCGGGGAGGGCTGCCAGGAACATCACTACCACTCTTTCACTATTAAAAAGGTCCCGTATTGCTGTTGCAGCCACGCAGGTGGGCGCTACCAGCCCCTGTGCTGCTAAGGGAGCACCTGGGGATGCTCCCCGAGGCCAGGACACCCCGTAGGGCAGCATAAGGGGGGGGGCTGCTGCCTGCCTCCCTCTCTCCTGCCCGTGGGGCTGGGGAGGACAGAGGTGACAAGGAGTCAGTGACCTGGGCCTGGTGCTGTGGGATGGGAGCCCTCGTGGGTGCTGTGGGGGGGGGGGGCTGAGCCAGGCTGGGGGGCCGGGTGGGCGCTGACCCCACCCGCGGGTGTTCCGCCGCCCCCTCCTTCCCTGGGTGGGGGCTGCCTGCGGAAGGACCGTTTCCCCGTCCGTGGAGCGGGGCGCTAGGGCTCCTCCTGCCGCCCCTGGGGGGGGGTGGGGGGTGGGGGGGCTGCCCGGGGGCTCGGCCGGCGGGCGGTGGGTGCAGTGAGGCGCCGCGGCCAGCAGGTGCCACTGCCCCCCCGCGCTGCCCGGGGCCGCCGCCGCCCGCCACGGCGGCAGCGCCGAGGGGGCCGGCCCCAGCCGCCCCCCCCGGGCTCCCCCAGCCGCCCCCCCCGGGCTCCCCCAGCCGCCCCCCCCGGGCTCCCCCAGCCGCCCCCCCCGGGGCTCCCCCAGCCGCCCCCCCGGGCTCCCCCAGCCGCCCCCCCTGGCCCCGCAGGCTCCCCGGGTCGCTGCTGGCGGCTTGGCCGGCAGCCGAGCTGCCCCCACGGGTGAGATGCGGAGCCGGAGGGGAAAGCGCTGCCCTCGGGGCTCCCGGCGAGCGCGGCCGCAGTGATGCAGTCGGGGTCCCCACGCACACGCGGGATGGGGCCGGCAGCTCGGCAGCTTAACCCCACCCGGTAGGAGCAGCCCCCCCCCCCCCCCCCCCCCCCCCCCCACGCCTCCTCGCCGCATCGCGGTGGGTGCCCGGAGTTCCGCGGGATGCGCAGCGCCTGCACGGCGGGCACATCTCCCCCCCCGCACCCCCTCCCTTCCCCCCCCCAAACACGCACCCTGGCCCCGCTTCCTCTGCCCCAGCTCCCCCCTCCCCGGCTCCGTGCTCATCCCCACCCACACCCCCCCCCCCCCCCCCACGGGTGCGACCGGCCGCGTTTCGCTCAGCGGGGCCGCTCCTCTCTCCGGGCGGGACGAAGCCGCTCCCGCCGCGGGGGCGGCGAGACCGTGGGACGGGGCGAGGGTGATCAGCGGGGCTGGGGGGGCAGCGGGCGAGGGGTTGGGGTGCCAGGGGGCGAGCGGGCGTGCGAAACACAGAAAGGGCCGAGCAGAAAGCGTGTGGGTATGCGTGGGGCGAGGGGAGCGGCGGGTTGGGCGGGGGGTGGGGTGGGGCGCGCGTGTCTGTGTGTCCGTGTGTGTGTGTCCGTGTGCATGTGTGCGCGCACCGGGGGCAGCTCCCCACGTGGGGCTGACGCGGCAGCCCCGGCCTGATCCGGGGCTATAAAGCCGCCCGGCAGCGAGCGAGGCGGAGCAGCCGCCGCCGGCTGCAGCCTCAGCCGCGGCTCCGCGCCCCGCTCCGCGCCGCTCCGCGCCCCGCTCCGCGCCGCTCCGCGCCCCGCTCCGCGCCCCGCTCCGCGCCCCGCTCCCGGCGCTCAGCTCCCCAGCATGAGCCGCGGGCGGCCGCAGCCCCCCGGCCCCCGCCGCTCAGCCCCGCCCCGGGCAGCGGCTCAGTAGCAGCGCGGAGCCCCGCGGAGCCGGGCGCGGCGCGGGTGGGGCAGGGAGCGAAGGGCGGGAGCGTCCGCGCAGCCGGGGTTGATGTTTAACCTGGAGCGCCCGTTCACGGAGAGGGGCCGCGTCTTCTCCTCCATGGAGTACCAGCGGCAGCTGGAGGAGGAGGAGGGCTACCCGCCTCCCGGCACCAACGGGACCTTCAACGACAGCGGTGCCGGGCTGGGCTGGGGCACACCGTACCCCCTGCACACCACCGTCACCCTCATCAGCCTGGCGGGTTTGCTCATGCTCTTCACCGTCTTCGGCAATGTCCTGGTCATCATCGCTGTCTTCACCAGCCGGGCGCTCAAGGCCCCCCAGAACCTCTTCCTGGTCTCCTTAGCCTCAGCCGACATCCTGGTGGCCACGCTGGTCATCCCTTTCTCCCTGGCAAACGAGGTGATGGGGTACTGGTACTTTGGCAAAGTCTGGTGTGAGATCTACCTGGCCTTGGATGTGCTGTTCTGCACCTCCTCCATTGTGCACTTGTGTGCCATCAGCCTGGACCGCTACTGGTCCATCACCCAAGCCATCGAGTACAACCTCAAGCGCACCCCACGCCGCATCAAGTGCATCATCTTCATCGTCTGGGTCATCTCGGCCGTCATCTCCTTCCCACCGCTCATCTCCATTGAGAAGAAGAGCGGGCAGCAGGCTGACCAGGGGGTGGCAGGGTGCAAGATCAACGATGAGAAGTGGTACATCATCTCTTCTAGCATCGGCTCCTTCTTTGCCCCCTGCCTCATCATGATCCTGGTCTACATGCGCATCTACCAGATAGCCAAGAGGCGGACCAGGGTACCGCCGAACAAGCGGGCAGAGCGCCCCGAGAAGAGGCAGAACGGCTTGGCCGACAAGGAGGACCTGCCAACCACAGCCCAGCTCAACGGGGAGAAGGCAGCAGGGGATGGCGGCGGGCAGGAGGGAGAGGTCAATGGCATAGACATGGAGGAGACCTCTTCCTCTGAGCACCAGGAAAACAACCAGTGTAAGAAGTCAGAGAGGCCATCGAGGGGAAAGACCAAGACTAAGCTGAGCCAGATTAAGCCTGGGGACAGTTTGCCTAGGAAGGTGGAGGAGGAGAGGAACACCAAAGGGTCCCGGTGGAGGGGCAGGCAGAACCGGGAGAAGCGCTTCACCTTTGTGCTGGCGGTGGTGATTGGGGTGTTTGTCATCTGCTGGTTCCCCTTCTTCTTCACCTACACGCTGATGGCCGTCTGCAAGAGCTGCTCTGTGCCCGACACCCTCTTCAAGTTCTTCTTCTGGTTCGGTTACTGCAATAGCTCCTTGAACCCCGTCATCTATACCATTTTCAACCATGACTTCAGACGGGCCTTCAAAAGGATCCTCTGCAGGATAGAGAGGAAAAGGATTGTTTGAGGGACCCTTTGCTATGGGCAGGACTAGTTCAAGACTTTGTAGGAGAGTACAGCATGGCTCTCTGGGACTGTGCTTGCATGGGATGGTTTCCTTCAGCTCGTGAGCAGGAAGCCTTTAAAACCCGAGAGGAGCGTATGGAAACGCTGAGGAGCAGCAGGCAAGTGGAAGTCCGAGCTGTGGCATTTGGCTTTCCAAGGGAGGATGGCCTTTGACTTGCTTAGTTTATTTTGTTAGTTCTTTTTTCCTTTTTGCCAGAATCTCTCAGTGGATATTTTCATGACTGCTCAGTTTGACTCTTTAAAGAGGAGCCACATGCAGCTCCGTGAGATGAACAACAAAGAGGGAGTATGCCACCCCAGAGGTGTTGACTTTTTTTATTTTGTTGTATTGTTTTTTTTTTTTTCCTGTTGTATATGTAATTAATTTTAACCCTCTTGTAAAATACAGTATTGTATCCCTGAATCTGAATGTCTTAATTTTTGTAAGGCAAGCAGCTTTGAAACTGTGAATGCTTTAATTATCTTTGACACCTTAAAAGTCCCTCTCTTCGCACCCCCTGAAAACTCCCTCACTCAAACCCACTGATCAACTAGAGCCATTCCCCCTACCTGACGGTTTGATAATATTACCAAAATTTCAATGTCCTGTCTTTTTTTTTTGGGGGGGGGGGGGGGGGGGGGGGGAGGGGGGGGCTATAAAGCTTATGATCAGACACCTCCATCAGACTGTCTATTTTTGTTGTTATTTTTATATTGTGCCTGATTCTGTTGCCTGTGATATAATACAGCTGAGATGGTAACTGCCCTCTCGTTATTCGTTAAAGCAGACCCTGATGGAGCAGTGGCTTTGCTGTGCGGGCAGGGACGTCCCGGGCGGTGTGAAGCTTGGGACCCGGCCAAGCTCCCCACGAGTTAATCTCAGTTGATATTATACCACACTGCAGCACCGAAACGTGTTCGATGCTAACTTGCTTCCCTCGCCTCCAACTGTAAATAGGTAACATTTCAAAGCAAATAGCAGGGCTCTGCATATCATGTTATCTCATTTGTATTGATTTGTAATGGTTTAACTCCTGTGGGCTCTCCTGTGGAAGAGGAGGGGGTTTGTGCACAGGGGCTGTTCCATCTTTCTGAATTAAGGGAGAAGGCTTGAGTTTTTAATCTGTCAGTCCCATCTTTCCTAGGAAATACAAAAGCATCCCTCTTTCAGTCTTATAGAGGGCAAAACTCAGATGGGAAACTTAACTGACAGTTTCTCCAGTATTTTATAGTGTAATTAAGTGTAATTCTTTTTTTTTTTTTAATAAATGTGTAAATATTGTGAGATTGGAGCAGGAGAGAGAGTTAATACTGCTTTTACACTCCTTTCCTGAAATGTCATTCAGCTTTCTGCAAAAAAAAAAAAAAAAAAACCCCAAAAAACGCAAACAACCCAACAAAACCTACCCACAACAAAAATGGACAGAACAAATCTAACATCCTTGTGCCATGAAGAAATTTCTGGAGAATGTTAAAAGGAAAAACTTTTGATTCATCACAATAAATGAGTCTGCAAGCCTTTTAGTGTTATGAAAACAGCTTTATCAAATACTGACAAGTCATAGAAATTGCTTGGAGAAAGCAAAGTTTGTAAAAGTCTCATGTGTAAGATGAATTTGCCTTCTCTGGAGTTGTATAGTACACAGGAAGAGACTTTAAAATACCTTTTTACTTTTGGGAAGTGTTTTGTTGATTTTGCTCTCTTTTGACTTTGTAATTAACTCCAAGGGTCCCCAGATGCACCTTGGGACCTGGAGAGCAATGTTTACATTCACTTGCATTTTCAGAATTGAATCCTCAAGAGGTGAGGAAAACAAATAAACTGTGCTTTAATGTAAAAAAAAAAAAAAAAGAAAAACAAAACACGAGCAGAAGTTGCTAAAATGGATGATTATTTTTATTAAATAAAAGAATGTTTACAGATCAAGTGTGAAAACCCTCTGAATAATCTGTTAGCTGTTTATTTTATTTTTTTTTCCAGCTGTTCACCGATCTTCCCTGCAGCTTTGGTCTTGACGTTTTTTAAAGAACACATTGGGGAAAGCACTTGTGTTTTCTGAAAGGCGTTGTTACCCCAGGTAGGGAACAATTGGTCTGTTCATTGTGCAGTGGCATAATAACAAACGAGTCCTTGATAATTCTTGGTTCCCTTCCCTTTCATGCCACAGTAAGAGCATTCATGTGTTTCTTAAAGAAAAGAGCTTAGGGTTTCAGGGTGTGATTTGCTCCCTGGAAATGCAGCCTGGCACTATTGCTGGGGATGCCTGGCTGGTGCAGCATTTACAGCTATTGAGTTGAGAAGGTTTTGAATAATTAGATTGCAAGTGGAATTAGAAATGATAAGGCTGGAAGGCAATGTTTCTTGATATATGCAGGAGTGTCCGTCTGAGCGGGGCTTTGTTTCCAGTGCCCGAGAGCCAGCTGGCCGGGCTCGCTTGCCCGTTCACTAGTGCTGCCGAGACCCTCCCTGCAGGAAGGTGATGGGGGGCTGTTCCCCCACCGAACCAAGCGCTGCTTCTGTGTGGCTACCGGCCTCCCTGAAGATGCCAGGGTCTACTTGCCATCGGCTTCAGCTGGGCTCCTTTGCCACCAGTACCAGGTAGCTCCAGAGGCGGGGCGGTGGGGGGGATGGGACACCTTGAGGCACCGTCCCTCCCCGTGCTTTACTGCGTGCTTTGTTTTGTCGAGGAGCACATTTAACCTTCTGGGAGCTCTGTCTCCTGGTCTTCCCAATGTTGGGGTGCCTGGAGTCACCCTGCCTCCCTGCTTTGCTTCTTTGGTGAGAAAATAAGTGACCAGAGCCCGGTGCTGGAGCTGCTGGTCTCACAGCCCCACTCTGCCACTGAGGTTGCGGTTGGAGGTGCTTGGCGAGCTGGGAGGGGGACCAGGGCTGGCAAGCAACATCGCTGCTGGGTGTAGGGCACCTGGTGATGGCTCAGAGATGAACCTTTTGGTCACCTCATGGTGCCCTTTGCAGGCCGGAAGGGTTTGATCTGGGCAGAATGTCCTGCTGTCCATCCTTTGGTCTTTGCTGGTCCTGTTGGCCCTGAAGGGTTGTGCAAAGTGGACCCCGTGGGGCAGGAGGTAACCCAGCAGCCATCGGTTATGCTTGCCCCATTCCTCTGGCTGTCTGATGTCCTCATGGCCAAACCTCTAGGACAGACAGTAGTGGGTTTAGGGCTGGGGGACTGGGGCTTTGGTGGGCTTTCAGTTAGTGAGGCTTTGCACAGCTGAAATGTCTGATTGTTCCCAATTTTCCATCAAAAGTAGAAGTAAGGTGCAAAAAAATGAAATTATGCCTCCAGAATTGTCTCCCTCCCAAAACCTCATGCCCTCACAGTTCAGTCCAGTCAATAAAATACTCAAGGGGCTATTTTACATGATGACAGTGACTCCCTGCGTCTGACATGGCCGAGCTGCCTGTCCATCCTTATGGCCAGTGCTTGAACTTACACCATCCTGCTGCCTTTACCACCTTCCGACACAGGCTTTTATTTCATTTTCCCTGAGCTGTTGGTCATTTTGGTTTCAGCTGTGTCCTGGACCCTCCATGCCTGCTGGGGATGGACACATCCAAGCTGTAGCAACCTCCGGGCACTGTGGGCCGTGTGATGGAGGTGCTGGGGTGAAGCCACCATCACTTTCCCTTTGGTAGGTGAGGATCAGCCCCGCTGCCTCCGAGCCAGAGGTCATGTTACTGTGGGCTTTGCTGGGACGTTGCCTCTGGCTCTGCCATAACCGTGCCCAGCTCTGCCATCCCACCCACCTCTGTGCCTGCCCCATCTCGCTGTGGGGCTGAGTCCCACCGCCCTTAACTGGTCCCAATGCCCGGCTCTTCCCCTTCCCCCTCCCGAATCCCTCCTCAACAGGAAAAAGCTGCCTCATTGCTCCCAGCTCATTCCCATGCAAATGACACATTAGCGGATGTAATGAACTTTGGTTGTTTTTTATAACCTTTTATTTTGGGGCTGAAAGGTTAATGGTGTGAGGGCGGGGAGGGGAACCTGCCTCTCAGCAGGGTGGGAGGCTCCAGGCTGGCACAGCGAACAGCATCCAGAGGTGCCACTGACAGCTTTGCCCCGGGAGGTCTTTCTCCACACACAGCTTTCCTGCGTGGGGTGACCCTGCACCCCACCCCTGGTGTGGGGACCCCAGAGGAGAGCCCAAAAAAGTCAGCTCAGGGACGTGCAGGAGGTGCTCGGATGAAATGTGGCAAATGTCCCAAAATATCCCCAGGGGTGAGTTGCACAAGCATGGTTGCCTTTGCAGAGATTGGTAACTGCCTGCCCAGGGCTTGTCCCTGACCCCCTCAGCCTGCTGACACATGCATTTATTTCCCCAGGGTTTTTGTCCCCATTCTCTGGTGAACAAGGAGCTGGTCACACAGAGGAGCTTCTCCAAGATATTCTAGCAAGGGATGGACTTGACCTGAATAACTCTGCTCATGCAAAATGGGTTTCCCATGCCTGGAGGAGCCTCAGAGAGTTTCAACCCATGTCTGTCAGCTGTCCTGTGCCGTAAGTAACCCCATCCCACCCAGCATCCCCTCACCCAGGTGCCCTGCGATGGACCTGGTGCCCTGCGATGTCCCTCTGGGTTGGGTTGCTGGCCTGGCTGCCTGTGAGACTCTCATCAGCTGAAGCTCTTGGTTTTATTTTGTTTCTTAATGTTCCCTGTTCTTTCACCACTGGAAGAGTTCAAAGTCTGCCAAGATATCTCCTTTATTACAGCCAGTGCCCTGGCAGACAGCTACCCTTGGAGCTGTCTCACTGTTTCTGCTACGAACTGCTCTTTGCAGCTGGTTTATAGTAACATCTCTGTGACTTTTTAAATATTTGTAGCTGCGATTGCTGTGCCTTATCCCAAGCTGTAGAAATGGAGTGAAGAGAGAACAGGGTTAGCAGGGACCCCACCCCCTGCATTAGCCGCTAGTAGTCAGTCAGCTCACAAATGCTCCAGGACCAGATCCTGAACCCTCTGTGAACAAAAAGGGTTGTAGTCTGAGCCCTGAGAAGTGCAGGTGAGATTCCAGCTGGAGGTCACACTGAAGTAATGCTGCACGAGGCCACAGTGCACTCCCAAATGTCCCCAAGGCTGAGCAGAGGGGGTGGTGAACAGGGCTGTGGGGGCACCATAAAACACGCCTTCCTTGGGTTGGACCATGGCTGGTCCCAGGAGGAAGGTTTGTGGCAAGCAGAGAAGAAGGAGGCTTGCTGTTGTGGGACAGGAGAGGTTGGGAGGTGTTGCCTGGAGATGCTGATGCTTGAGCTGGTCATTCAACATCCCTTCCTTCTTGATGGACCTTCTTGGCCATTTGAGTGGCCCCCTAGGAGTGATCATTTCCCAGAGAGGTCCACCAGTGTGTGAGCACAACATCTCACAGCCAGGTCTATAGGGACGTGAGATGGGTCCCAGACCACAAATCCAACAGTGGCATGAGAACGAGCCATAAAAGGGAGCAGGAAGGCATCTCCCTCACTTGAGTATAGGTGTCTATCAGTAAAGGTGTAAACATATTGGCTTAAACTGGCTTAAAACTGCTTAAGATGGCTCTGGTTTAGCCTGTTAGTGTGATGGTCATCTCCATATTGGCCAAATTAGGAGAGGCCATCTGTGTTGGCTTGGATCTAAGGTCCTGCTCTCCCTCTGGGGCTCTCAGAGTGGCCTGTAGCAGATTTTAGAGAATGGGGAGGAGCAAGGGCCCTTCCCGGGAGGCTCAAGGGTCATTAGGCATTCAGGGATTTCCTGGGGCCAGTGGTGCCTTTAGCACTAATGGAGAAATTCCACCAACAATGTGTTTCCCTTCAGCCATGTTCTGCATTGGGGAGGTTTGGATGGCGTTCAAAGATGTGTTTGAATCAAAAGCCAGCAACAGAGTGGGGTTTGTCAGGAGGTGAGATGAGCTTATCTAAACATTCCTGCTTCCCTGTGTGCAATGCTTGCAGCATTTAGCCCATATTGGTTTGGGTACAGCCTGGGGCATTGCATTTGCAGGAGCAGCCTTGCAGTCCTCCCGAGATGTGTGACCTGCCCCAGGGTTTGCTCCCAGAGATGAGAAACATTTGTTTTAAATCAGCTGCTATGTGAAAGAATTGATGGCTCCTTTGCTGATTGAAACAGTTGTGTTTTGCTGGACCGTGACTTTATGGCCTTTTTCCTGTTTGTTTTTCAATTGCTCTCCACAGAAAAAAATAAAAAGCTTCCCACCACTGGACATTGCTGATAAAATAATTCCTGCTGAAGGCTGCTTTGCCTTCATCTGCATGCGTGGGGTTGCTGCAAATCTGAAGATTGAAACCTTAAGGTTTTACTGAAAAATTCCCTGAAATGTATCGATAAAGATGGACACTGCATCCAACCTTCTGATTTTCTGAATTGACTGAACTTTTTTTTTAAGAGGGAATTGCTGAATTATGGCCTATTATTTCCAGGAGAACTTTTGCCACCAGGAAAATTTGGACAAACTATTTGTATTGCAGCCCAAAACCTGCAGGGTTAGACCCCGAGTGCAGCAAACCTGTGCAGCTCAGCTGCTGTGATGCTGATTTACACCCTGGTAGAGCTCCCCCTCTCCTAGCAATTATCCCTGCAGTCATGATCCCTGGCTAATCGAGTGATAAGGCATTTCTGTGTAAAGCTAAGTTTGTTCTTCATTTTGTGATGCAGATACTTGACCTGAAATGACTCCTTGAACAAGGTTTGCCAGAATGAGCTTCCTGTTAATTTGGGCATGGCTATGCCTGGTGCTTTGCAGCCTTGCCGTGGCACAAATACAGCTCCCCATGTTTGTTGGTTCTGCTGTGCCATCACCCAGACAGGGCACGTTGCTACTGGGGATCTCAAGGCATTACT